AATGGGAATGGAATATCCGACCCTGATGGAATAAGGGGAATTCTGGGAATAAAGACATCTTCACCTTTTCCATAGACAGTAAGAACCAATGCCACAATTACATGTGGCATCAACTTCTTAACCACCAGTCTGGTGCCATTACAAAGTCTGGTGGATCCAGATTCCGTAATAGCGTTATAGGCACCTCCATTTTGAGTTCCAGTCTATGTGAAAATAGTCTATGAGGTTCTAGAGAATTCATAAATTCTGTTGCATAATTAACCACCTGTTCTGGATCTGGAATGGTATCTACTGACCTGTAGATATGAGATGTTTCTGGGAGAGACTGCAACAGTTGGTCATTGATTCTGTCAACTGCTTTGTTTTTTGGGGGTCAGTATTGTCCTGTCACATAACCAATTGTAGTTTTTGTAATTATGTTGGAGGTTTGGGCCTTAAGCTCATCAGCAGTACTGACAACATTGTAAACCAAATTAGTAGTCATCTCTCCATTGGCACCTAAATGTACGTTGCCATTGTCAAGGAGGACTGAACTGACAGCTGATCTCCAAATAATTATGGTCTCATGTTGGTGCTCAGAGTCAATGTTCAAATATATCAGCATAACGGAGATAATTTGAGACATGCTCTGACTTCATCAGCTCTGGTCTCTTAAAATAGTGAATTATCATAAGTATTCAATCAAAAGGTGGTACTTCAGAATTAGTTCTTTTTTGAACACCCATACAAAAAATAATCTAACAGTTGAAAATTAAAATTCTTTTAAAAATGGCTCACATTCTATTACAAGGCCCCATTTTGCCCTACCTCTTTACACTTACACTAATATATACAAAACCTAGCTTAAAATCATGACTTAAATCTGTAGCTACTAGATGACCTTTTTACCTTACAAAATGCTCCCATTCACCAAACCCCTTAGATTTCATAATAATAGAATGGAACTTTCTAGAAGTCTCTAGAGGGTACAAAAACATATATAAACAGGAGTTCGTACCAATTAGCCAGATAGCCTCCTGACTCCACAGCCACGACTACTGAGCTTGACTCCGGTCCATTTGATTCATGAACAAAGTTTCAACCGAAAGAATCTAAGTTCCAACAGTCCTCAAAAGAAAAGGCTATCGGTAAATACTTCACCTTTTATTCCTTGATATTATTGACCAAACTCCTTTATTTTATATACATGTGAATATCCAACTATTCCCATCCATCGCCTTAATCTTAACTGTATAAGGATTTCCTCTCTCACTCCCACATATAGCTACATGTTAAGCCAACTACTTTCTGGGATCTCACACACTTATTAGATTGTTAGCATTTCCCAACGTATACTGTTTAAACCTCAGCCCTATTGTTTGTAAAAAATATTTTATTATATGTTAAATAAAACCCACTTTTTGTTATTACAAGTAATCTTTTCTTTCAACTTTAATTTCTAAGAATCTGTTTCATCTTATTTTTGTATTGCGCCAGCCATAACAATTCAAAAATGACATGAAATTTTATATTTCTCAATTCTTCAAACATCTTTAAAAAAAAAAAAACTCTTGTTATGAATTATAAGTTTCTTGGAATCTGTAGCCACCCCCCAACTCATGCCTGAGGTGCAAAATCAGGTGTGTAAAGTGTAGTAAGACATAGAAACTAAGCTGTACCAAATTCTGAACCAGGTGAGCAAAGAGACAGGATGTTTGGCATTGTTCTGATAGTGGACAACAGGGTTCAACTGGCCAATCCTGGATCCTACTTTTGATTGGTCAAATTAGGGACAGTACTTCAATGCCTAATCTTGTGAAAGAAGCTCATCACGCACAGTACCTTTTCAATCCAACTAGATAAACGACAACACCTTCTTTGTATGCAAACCAGCTTTAAAGAGTGGCTCATTCCATTTTCTCCAGGTCGTTTTTTGGCTCCACATTGTTGTAAACAATCCATTTTCATTGCTTTTAATTGTTCTTTTCAAAAATGGATCATTGTTTATGCATTTGAGCAGATAACCGCAGACATAAATGCCATACAGGGAATCCCCAAAAATATGACATTTCGCAGGCCAATAATTTTGGCAATTCTTGTTGAAATAACATGTGTTATATACCGTACCTATGAACACTAATGGGTGTGTCCCAATCCACATAAATACATTGGCCACTATTGCAAGTGGGGTTAATATGCTGTCTAAGCAGTCCACCACTAGCAGTGGTTTACCTACTTTACACCTCTGGCGACTATTGTATTTTGTATTGTATTTTGTTGATGTTATAAAGATTACCATTTCATTTCCAACCTCCATTTTGATTATTCCTTATTCAGTAACTGTTCCTAGGTTACAATAATGTGCTATCTCAATGAGAATCTGCTAGAGAGATGGATGAGGTGTGGTCAAAATAAAGGCAGTTTTCTGATGAAATGGTTGCTGTGGTCACCAGACCTCTCCCCGTGTGATTTCTTTTTATGGGGATATGTGAAGGGACCAGTCTATGTCCCCCCACTCTTCCTGCTAGCATTGATAAACTCAAGCAGAGAATCACTTCTGCACTGGATAATTTTACCAGAGACATGCTACAGCATGTTTGACAAGAGCTTAACAACCAACTTGATGTGTGCCATGTCACAGGCAGTGCACATATTGAAACACTTATAAAATCAGACCCATAATAAACTTATGATCTTCAACACCTAAACTGTTCAATTTCATTGAGCTTGACTTAGTAGTTTTCAAGATAATTGCTTTTAAAATGATGTCAATTTTTTTTTTTGGGGGGGGACACCCTGGACATTTAAAATTTTCTGTTAATTTCTGAGACAATGAAACATTATATCAAAGCGTTTTCAAATGCCTTACAACACTCAGATGAGATAAAGAGAGTGTCTCTGCAATGTCCCATGTCATGCAACCTGGATTATTTCTAATCAGCATTTTTGGCATCATTAACAAGTGCAGGCCTGTTAGAATATCCTCGATCTTTCAGATCAAAATTTCCAATTCTGAACCTAGTAAACCACTTATAAACAACCCTTTCAGCTATGGCACCATCTCCATAAATGGCACATGTCTTTTTGCTACCAAAAAAGCATTTTCCTTTCTAGAAATCAAATGACAGAAATAAATATCATTTTCCTCTATTTTCATTTTTGATGTAAGAACATTTAAATTCCACAATCCACACATCAATCATATAAAAAGACATGTTGAAATTGCAACTTTTACAATCATGTATATATATCATAAATTTCAAGGAGGCACAGTGGAGTAATGGATGGCAGCAAAGCTGAGTTTGAATTCCAGTCAGATCCATTACATTCACTTACATGCTTGGGAAAGGTATGAATCCTCTTCTTATCCCCCCAGCTATGGGTAAATAGCAGGACAGACAGGGTTCTATAGCAACCAGTCTAAGAGAAGGAAAAACTCTGAATTCAAAACCATCATACACCCTGGAAATAGATTCATATTACTGCACACCACTGGAAATGACCTAATCTGAGGAAAAATAGAAATCAATTACACCCTGTCACTCCAGTGGGTCTAAAACTGACCGTATGGTGAAAGAAAGGAAACTAAAATGGTTGTTTCAATTAATTTTCACAAGGTTGTATTTATTTACATTATTTGGACTGTTGTCCTCATCTTTATTGCTATATTCACACTTGTACACTCTGGCCTTCTCCATGATTTTGAACTGAACTCTTTATTTCGCTCACTGGGGTAGACTGTCATGTTTAATGGATGCCGGTTATCTCCTGTTAATTCCAAATTCTCCACTGCCTTAACTGGGTATTGAACTCACTTTGGGTCCTCTCAACTAACGCCTTTATCCACTGTGCCATGTGTCCTTGTAGACATCTTTGTATGAATTTCTGGGTATTATAAACTTAATGTCTTCAGCAACCGTTTTTTACTAATGCTCATATTGCAATTTTTTCTGTTATCATTTCATGTTTTTACCAGACCTCATATTGCAATTTTTTGTTGCTATTATCGCTTTTCTCTGGCACTCCTTATTACTGGTTCCCATATTGTATTAATTTCTATGCTTTGTCGGCTCAGGAGATTTTTGTGGCCTAGCATATGTGCTGATTCCTTAAGTTTACAAATTTTCCAATGGTGTTCTTTGTCTATGATCTCAACCTGATCCCACAGAAGGCAGTGATCTCCCTTTTCTCTCCATATGTGGTCAGCCATGCCTGATTTTATCACTTCCCCTAGTGTTACAGCTTTCTAGTGTTCTTACCTTAAGGGGGCGGCTTGTCTCCCCTTTATATTTCTTTCTGCAGTTGCACAGGTTAGTGTACACAGTCTTTAATCATGTTCTCCTCTATGAGGAGGGGGGGTCTTACTCAGGAGAGATATCTGCGAAGTGTCACCCAACTTTTGAAGGTTGCCCTAATGTTATATGGACCGCAGATCCTTTGTATTTTGCAATATGAGCACTGGTAAAAAATGGTTGCTAAAGACATTAGGGACAACGGCCGAAACGTTGTAATAAATATGGCAACAAAGATGAGGACAATAGTCTAAATAATGTAAATAGTGTACATAATACCTCATCTCAGAAATATAGACAGATACTACCTTTGAAACTCTCTTAATTTAAATCCAATCAAAAATCTGTGTTCAATCTGCAAGGAAAGACTTCATGGAATTGACATACAAAGTAACATGTGCACTGGGTCATGTTTCATTGGAAAAATATGAAAAAAGAGTAAATAACAAAATTATTTGTTTTGTTTCAATTAATTTGCACAAGGGTGTAGCCTTTTACCATAGAATTGAATTCAAATATAAATGAAAGCAGTTTTATATTTTTTGTTTTTTTCTCAGCTCTTTTAATAAAGTTTAGGACATGTAGGCTTAAGTTTAAACTTACAAAGAGGAATTGTGGACAAATGATTTACGTACGCACCTGATGAGTTAAAGAAGTTTATCATCACATAAAAAGCAATATTAAAAATGCAATATCAAAATTTTAATTATTTTTGCTTTCAAGACTACTATGGTCCACCTTATTTTAGCTGGTCTACCCTCCAGCCATATTCTGTTTACCGTGGTCTGTGCAGGTGAGGCCTCATCTCTAGTATCACTGATATTACAAACATATAAGAAGGTTGAAGAATAAACCAGCTGAAATGTTATGATAAAATCTAAGTGTTGTGAAGTAAAAAATATTTTATTACAAAGAAAATTAACTGATAATTTTAAAAATTGAGGTGAATCATTTACATGTGAAGTCACAAAGACTATAAATGGCTACAGCTATTACCCATGAGGCAGTTGAGTGCATACTACTTCCCACGTGGAGGTAACCCTATGCAAGATCTAACAAACTAAACAAACAATTATCACTTTAGCAACTAAAATCAATTGGAGGAGAAAGCCAAATAATGGACTTCTTGTTGACAACTGCTGGTTGTGAGGCCATTATAAAATTATCAACAATTGCTCACCCAAGACAGTTAGGGGAAATAACATTTGACAATATATCAACTAATAGTGAAAAGCATAGCCCCCAAGAAAGAACTAGTGAATGCAGAGAGAGCTAAGTCTATGAATATTTTTCAAAGTGAATGAACCAGTTATTGAATATGTTTATTTAAAACAGGACACTAAATATTGTGAATTTGAGAAACTGTGATTGGAAAACCAGTCAATCAAAGAGAATTGCATCCAAATGAAATTGGTAAACAGTCTTCAAAATAAGGAGGATCAATAAATGACTCTAATGCATTTACAAATGGGAAAGTTGTCATTAGAACAGTGTGTTGAATTTGTTCAGCAACAAGAACTGGAAAATTTAATAGATCAAAAATTACGGATCTGGTATAGGAAATGGACACATACATGATAAAGAAAAAAAGACAGAATAATGTGTACTTATTGTAGATATCAACATCAAAGAAAAAAAAATATCTAGCATATAAAAAAAAAGGTGAAAAGTGTTTCAAAATGAATCATTTTAAAGATATGTGTAAATCCAAAAAGAAAAAAGTAGAGACAGTCCAACATGAAAAATGAAGAGGAAATAAGTCTGGATGATGTCTTTTCATGAAAATAAAATGAAAAAGGGTTATTAAAAACACAAATCAATAATGTTTTATCGAACATGCAACTAGATATGGGAAGTGACATGACACTGATACCCAGAAATTTCTGGAAGAAATTACGAAAACCAAGATTAAAGAAAAACCATGTCTAATTGAATCAGTTTGACAGATCAGTGATAAAAGCATTAGACTATTTTGAAGCATACATGGAACTAAAAAATAAGTTGGCCATATTACCAATTATTGTGACAAACTGTGAAAAGAATCATGGTATAATAGGAAATGATGTATTGAATATAAATTTGATAAAATTAATGAACAAAGTCAAGGCAGAAGAAACTGGGATGTTAAAAAAAACTGTGAAGTGAAGTTAAGACTAAAGGAAAATATTCCCACCTCAAGATCTACTTGAACAAGTTCCACGACGAGGAAGCAAATGGGCCTCACCGTTATTAATCTTAAAAAAGAAGGATGGGGATCTGTGCATATGTGGTGACTACAAAATAGGTGTAAACCACAAAATATCCTATCCCCAATGTAGATTCAGCTTTGAGCTCCCTTGTGGGTATGGAAACATTCTCGAAAATTGATCCAAAGTTGGCAAACCATCAAATACCTATTGATGAAGACTTTAACAAAGTCACAACAATAAACATGCCAATATGTTTATTAAGATGGAAAAGAACACCATATGGAATTAAAACTGCATGTTTCTCAAAGGGCTATAGAGCAAGTTATTGGTAGTGATATAAAAAATATAATATGCTACGAGGATGACATTTGTGTTGGTACTATTAATCATGAAGAGTTAAAATGGAAAACCAGTATGGTTTTGAATAAGTTAAAAAATGCTGGATTAACAATGAAAAAAAATGTTTGCACAACACTAAAAAAATATCATTTTTGGGATATTCCATATCTAATGAAGACATATCACCAAACCAATTGTTAAGAGACAAAATATTAAAAGTTGAAGTAACTAAGAACAAAAAAGAATTGGAATGTTTGTTAGGACTTGTAAATTTCTACAGACCATATGAAGCATAATATGCCAATTTGACAAAACCATTTGCTGCTTTAAGAAAAAAGAATATGGAATTTATTTGGACAAAAGGAGAACAAGTGGCAATTGAAAATTTAAAAGCTGTTCTGGCAAAGAAGCCAATAGCAAAAATATTCAACCCTAAAAAAGAAGTGATGCCAGTGAACATTCAATGTTGGGGATATTAGCTCAGGATGGTCATCCTATTATGTATCTTTTGAGAAAATTGTTAAAAGCTGAAGTGAACTACTCAAATATTGAGAAAGAAGTGTAGGCCATAATATAAAGAGAGCTTGTCAGTTTCTGATTGGAAAGAAATTCCTACTAAGGTCTGATCATAGACCTTTAGAATTCATATTTAATTCTAGGAAGTAACGTCTTCTAGAATTTTAAGATGGGCCATAATTTTAATGGTATTTGATATTGAGTACATGAAAGGTAATACTATTCCACATGTAGACACTTTGTCGAGATTGAGTTTCATTACTTCTGAAAGTGAGAAAAAGGAAAACTTTCAAGATACTTTCTTACACTGGGTCAAAACTGATATTTTGTCAATAGACAAATTAGCTAAGGTTTGGTTTGGTTTATTTTGTTTTACGGCATATCAACCTCAATGGTTTATTTAATGCCGACAACATTTTTTATTGCTGGTAATATCTTGTTTTGTCAAAAATCTGTTTCTGGTAATATCTTTCCTTCAAAATTGTATTGCTGGTAATAGTTTGTTTTAAAAAGGTATTGCTGATAATAGTTAACTATTTGGCCATAGCTGAGACCCTAACAGGTGCTACCATCCTGGGTCAGGGTAGACTTGGGAACACCAGCAATTATGAGGTGGTTCCACGATCCTCAAAACCTCCTGATCAGAGACCTTGCTGCTGGACATAGTTTAACATCTTACCCAGGATGCAGATGTAGTTTAACATCTTACCCAGGACATACAAATTAGCTAAGAATACAAAGCGAGAGCACATATTTAACAGTATATTTTTCAAGATAAAAATTAATAAGTGGAACAATTGCTCAGAAAGATGTTAAACACAACTTAACTGTAGAAAAGGAAGTGATTTGTAATGGAAATGTAGTGGTTTCGCCCTCAACACAAAGGAATAAAGTTAAAAAAGTATATATGACAATGTTCATTGCAGAATATGTCTACGCAAAGGCAATGGTGGCCAGGCTATTCTACAGATGTAGAATACATAAAAAGGTTTAACACATGCAATGGCAGAAGAAAATTTAGACAGACAAAAACACATACATGGCCAAAAGTTCCCCAACCTTGGAACAGAATACCTATGCATCATGCCCATGTTAATGGAGTGGGATTATTACTTATACTGGTGGATTCGTATTCAAATGGATTAGCAGAATGGATGATGCAAACTATAAAAAATGGATTGAAAATGTGTGAACAATGGAAAGAAAAGATAGAAACATTTCTTCCTAGATTGTTGAGACTTAAATAAATGTCAATCCATCAGTTACCACAATATTTGCTAAACATGTTAATTCAAAGTTCAACAACAACTGAAGTTAAACTGATCATTAAAGAGAATGTTATGGCACATTCATTTATTGAATGTCTCTAAAGGGTTTTGTAATACAAACTTAATTTAAGTAGATATTCACTTGCTGAAACTTTAAAAAATCTTGAATAATAATGACCTAAAATGAAGCATTTAAACTCCATGAATACAAGGTAAACTTGTAGGTATTATTTCGAAATTTGCAGATGAGAAGCAGATTTTAACTTTCTATTCAAAGAGAAAGAGTGAATAGGGGAAGATATAAATCTGTTCAATTCAAAAGTTTTTCAAAATCTGAATTTTCTAAGAAAATTTGGAATTTCAAATTTGGTGTTTGTTTTTTAAATTTCCAATCTCAACTGTAATAATTAATTCTTTATTACACATTTTGTTAATCTCATACTTGAAAGCAACATAGATGAACATAAAACTTTCACTGCTTCATTGCTGCACAACCCATTTTAGGAAAAAATATATGAAATTACCTTGTAATAAATTACTATAAAGATGCTGACTGAGATTCCTCATATGCACCACCATTTTGTTTTCAATAAGATACTCTGCAATACAGATTAAGCTAAATGATAACCTCAACATCTTATATATAAAGTAGTGTATGTGTGTGCGTTTGTGCATGTCTGTGTCCAAGCAACTCCTTCGCTCCAATAGTCCGATTTCAATGATTCATTGCTCATTCAAAAACTCTAGAATAGTTAGTCACAGAGAACAATTTTCGTTGAGCTCAGATTCAGAGTTGCCAGATTAAGTGAGGTTAAAGATATATATTAATATATTATACTAGCCATTATTGTTGCTTTCATGGTTCAAGGGAAGTAATTCTTATTTTCCTTTTGTATCCAAAATTACAGTGCATGTTTTATTATAAACTAGCTTAAAAGCCACCCTATTGGGCAGCATTTAAGCTAGCTCCTGTGGAGAACTCTTGGTTTGGCCATCATCACAATAGCTAGGGAGGAGTAGATGCGATAGGCATCAATAAACTACAGAACTCAAAATTGATTGCTGCATTTAAGCACTGAATTAATGTTCAAGCTTACCTTTTAAAATTTCAATGATAATTCTTCTGCTGCCACTTAATTTAAAGACAATTTAATATAAATCCTTATTTTCCGTACAAACAATTATTTTCATTTTATGGGTGACAGAACAGGGGACCATTTATAAGATAAAATTAATATAGTGTAAAGATAGGAAAATAGAAATTAGAATTATCTATCTATATCTATCTATGTCTCTCCATATCTATCGATCTATCTATCTATATCTCTCCATATCTATCAATCTATCTATCTATATCTCTCCATATCTATCGATCTATCTATATCTATGTCTCTCCATATCTATCGATCTATCTATATCTATGTCTCTCCATATCTATCGATCTATCTATATCTATGTCTCTCCATATCTATCGATCTATCTATATCTATGTCTCTCCATATCTATCGATCTATCTATATCTATGTCTCTCCATATCTATCGATCTATCTATATCTATGTCTCTCCATATCTATCGATCTATATCTATGTCTCTCCATATCTATCTATCTATATCTATATCTATCTATCTATATCTATATCTATCTATGTCTCTCCATATCCATCCATCTATCTCCCTCTATATATATCTATGTCTTTCCATATCTATCTAGCTATCTCCGTCTCTCCATATCTGTATCTGTCTATATTTCTGAGATGAGGTATTATATACACTATTTACATTATTCGGACTATTGTCCTCATCTTTGTCGCCATATTTATTACAACGTTTCGGCCATTGTATGCTTCAGCCTTCTTCAGGTGGTTGAGCAGTGGAGAACTTGGAGAGGGGAATTAACAGGATATAACTGATAACTGACATCCATTAAACATGGCACATGGAACTAGTAGTCTTTTCCAGTGAGCGAAATAAAGGGTTCAGTTCGACAGTCCAACCACCTAAAGAAGGCCAGAGCGTACAACGGCCGAAACGTTGTAATAAATATGGCGACAAAGATGAGGACAATAGTCCCAATAATGTAAATACTCTCCATATCTATCTAGCTATCTCCGTCTCTCTATATCTATGCATCATTTTGTGAAAGTGAAGAATATGCCCTATTCAGTGGAGCATGTAATTAAATTCTGTAGAGTATGTGTAGAGTGCAAGTTAAACTTTCATTGACCAGAAGATACTTCACATTTCCAATGACTAAGTCTTGGATTTTAACGGATCTTTGCCCGGCATAAATAAGAATCGTTATTATTGGAGATTGTGTTTCCTTCTACAGATATGACACCTTCAATTATTAGTTCTCTCTCAGTTGTTCTTTACTTTTGGCATGCCTACCTACATACACTCAAACAGGGTCTCAACTTTTATGAGCAAGGAATTACAGAGGATTTTAACTGACCTGTAGTAGAACAATAAGCTATAATCATGAAGGCAATGGCCAGGTGGAGCAGTTCAATAGAATAATATGGAGGACAATTAGAACAGAACAGATAGATAATGTGGTTCTGAAACCACATTATCTATCTGTTCAACATTGGTAAACAGTTTTGCCTGATGCCTTTCATCCAATTTGTTCATTACTGTGAACAGCGACTGATATGACACCACATGAAAGGCTTTTTATTTACTCCTGTCATTCCTCAACCAAAGATTCCCTGCGCTCATGGTTATGTAATCGGGGACCTGTTCTCCTGAAACATCATATTCAAGTGAACAAAACAGATCCTTTAGTCGAAGAAGTGGAATTTATTCAAACAAAAATAAATAAATACCAAAATTGCAAAGAGACTACACTATCTACTAGATATTGAAATCCCTTATTAATGAGGAACTTCAAGAGATACATGCAAATGAAGTGGGAGAAGCCCAAGAGATACCTGTAGATTATCCAGCTTTGCCAGAAAAACCTCTCAAAGGCACACTTTTAAAAAAATTTAAATAATGCCAATTATTGTCACAAAATATTTAATATTGCAACACGAGGCTAATTTCTGATAAACCAGCCAGTAAATCAACATGTAAAATTATCTAAAAAATACTTTTTTATTGTATAAACAAAATAAAATATAAATAAAATTGCATCATTGGAGCTAATGAAAGTTTTAATTTTCACTTTAAATAAATAATTTCTTAAAATATTAATTCTAAGATGGAAATAGGACCCCAAATATTTATACAACTTTCAATAATACGAAACACTTCAGAGATTTGCTTCCCCTAGAGCAATCTGCAATATTTGCCTCCCTTTAAGAAATACTTTAAGAGTTGCTTCCCTTGTTGCACCAACTGAAATAACGAGATAATGGGTGGTTATTATTTGCCAGATGTGACACAAAAATTGTTAATTTATATTTTTCAATATGGGTATTGCCTGAAAGAAGATAAAGCATAATAAAATAAATTTTCAATTTGTTATTTTAATTTTTTTATAAGTAATATTATTTTAAGTCTTCCTTTTCGAATCAGTCTAAAAATTTGTATTTTGGTAAAACAAAAAAATTTGTTTAGGCTGAATACACCATTTTACAGAAAAACAAAAATTGGTTCAGAAATTTTATGAACTTTCAATAATTTTAATAAATATTCCTTCCAATTCATTTTTTTTTTTAATTACAAGCAGAAATACATTTTTATAATATAATAAAAGCCAATTTAACAATTAGAAAACATCACAAGTGTTTTTTTTTCCTACTTACGTGTAAATAGGTTTTCTGAAGAATGATTGCTATACCTCAGGGCACTTGTGAAGATTCTATGGAATCCAAATTGTAATCCTGTTTGAGGAATGACTAACATCAAAGATGGCATAATTCCTCGCCAGAGGCCAAAAATACTTTCATTCTTTACTATCTTTATACAAGCAATATGGAAATGGTTATAGATCTGAAAAATAAATTTGTAGAATAAATTAAAAATTTCTGGGATAAGGAGTTATCCTTATTTACACTTTTTAAATATGGACTATTGTCCTCATCTTTGTTGTTGTTATCACAAAGTTTCAGCCATTGTGTTCTCTGGCCTTCATTCCAATTGGTTGTCCAGAATGATATGCACCTGATGAAGGCTGGGGGTACTAGGTCCGAAATGGTGTAATAACAACAATAAATGATGAAATGATCAGGACAATGATCTGAATGTAAATAAAATCAACAATTCTTTTACATATATGTGTCACATATGCAACAAAATAAAGAAAAATAAAGAGAAGTCAAGGGAACAAGAAGACCAACCAAATCTTATAGTAAACAAAAAACGGGTTTATTATAATTTTAGTAATTTGGTCAGTGGCTAAAAAGGAAAAAGCAAAAAAGGTTTACTGGCAAGGAGTTAAAAATATACTTCAAAGTAACTTCAGTTGGGAGTTGCAACATAATTTACTTGTCAGGTCAGAAAATGGGAGTAAATGAATCTGAAGCAGATTTCTACAACAACTGACTTCACCAGCCAACTCACTTAATTTTGGTGCCAACCAACAAATATGAATACCATGATGAAAGACCACCATTTTGTAAGGTCATCTGACCAATCAGAGTTCTTTGAAGTCATTGATCTAAATGACACAGAATTCATAAAAGTTTCATTCATAAAAATAGATTCTCTTAACAATATGTATGCATTTTTTGTTTGGTTTTTTTAAGATTTTAGCACTTTATTTTCTAACAAGAAACATTAAAATTTGAGTTCTAAATCCTGCTTTAAAACATTAAAAAAAAGAGTTGAAACAATTATTATAGTTGTACTTTAATGTAGGTACCTCCATGAGATCGCTAAAAAAAGAGCATAGCATGACAAAAAAGACGCCAAACTTGATGAAAACAAAACCTTATCATCTAAATGTTTATGTTATTATTAAGAGGAAAGATCAAAGTATTTTGTGGGTATTTTTTTACATTTTTTTATCGTTCCTAGAACATCCAAAATTTTCATTAAAAATCTTGTTTTTTTTTTTTTAGTTAGAAAAATTGACAGATAATCATGTCAACCATTTTTTTCCATTCTATAAAAAAATGAAAATCTCAGCTTGTTTTTCTTTTAAAATTCAATTAAAATTTTTTCAAAACATATTTCAAGAAAATCAGAAATTATAATGTTTATTTAAAATATTTTGAAACAAGCTTAACTTAGTTTCTGCACCAAAAAGATGTAGTTTGAAAAAAAACAAAGCAGGTCATAACATTTCACATCACTTGACAGGTGACAAAAGACATTTTCATAATGTATTGATAGCTTACGTGAGGATAATTTATTCTACGGAAGGAGAGAAGTGAAATTATTTAGATTTAAGTGAACAAATTATTTACTTCGTTATTTTTAAGGAAAACTTTCAGCACTCTATTTTTTTTATTTAGCTTTCATCTTTACATTTACGATGCTTTATGGAAAATATATTATAAAGAAATTAAAATAGTGAGATTAAATTTCATAAATTTAAATAAGACGACTCACTAAAAACTGTAAAACAACTTCACAAAATTGAAATTGCAATAAAATATGTAAATGAAATAAATGGTACTTTTAAAAATGTAGTAATGTTGCTGCTGAAAATGGCTTAGGGTGGTGTTCAATTTTTTTTAATTAGTAAAAACGCTAATTCAAAATGTTCAACATGTGTTTCGCACAAAGAATTTGCAATAATGAAATGGATGTTCCACGGAGAACGCTTACACTCAAGCCATGTGACGTTTTATTGCTTGTGACTTTCTGTACTTTTTAATTAAAGCCATTTTAATGATTTTTATGAACACAAAATTACATTTCTTAATTACTGCGGGTCTTCTGATTGGACAAAGCGATACAATTTACAAAGCACTAAAAATGTCCATATTCATAAAAACAACTAAAAGCAAATAAAAGTATTTGAAATTAAATAATATTTTTGTTTTATTGAGTTTTGTATGTTACAATTCAGGTCTGATTTTCAGGTAGAGAGGGTCCAATTAAAAAAAAAAAGGATTTGCTTTCCTCAAAGCCTTGTGCTTTTAACTAATATAATCACTAAACTGAACGCGACTGAATTTCTAGAGTTTTCATAAAATTAGTTTCTTAATAAATATAAAAAAAAAAATTTCTGTCAGGACTTTAATAAAAAAACATATTTATAATAATTTCCATCATTTGTAAATATTTTCTGAAACATCCAACAATTATTTTTAATGTTAATGAAACATCCAACAATTATTTTTATTTTCACAAGATTTTCCAAATTAATGTCTGTCATACAAAAAAAAAAAACGTGCTAAAAATTGTATATGTTATTTTACTAGTTCCGGTGATACAAAAAGAAACAAGGTTTTTTTTAATGAAAATTTAAAATGTTCTAAAAAGAAGGAAAAATTTTTAAAAATAATTTAAAAAAAACTTTGGTCTTTCCTCTTAATAATAACATAAACATTTAGACAATAAAATTTTGTTTTTGTCAAGTTTGGCGTCTTTTTCATCATGCTATGCTCTTTTTTTAGCGATCTCATGGAGGTAACTACTTTAATGTCTTTACCAAGCTCCAGATTCCCATTTATCTATTTTTGCTTGTTTGTTAAATCATTGGGTACTGTCATTCCTGCTACACTACCATTCCTATGTTTATTATAAGTACTTCCACTGATTCACTAAAAAATTAACATACCACAATGAAAAAATGCCCCTTAATAAAATTTTTTTAAAAAATGCTTTTTATTACTGTCACAATCATCATGTTATTATTAAGAAGGAAGACCACAGGTTTTTATTATTAAATTATATTTTTGGATCCTCTTTAGTACGTTCAAAAATCTTTTCTTTTTTTTTTTTTGCATCAAGGTGGGGGGAGAGGCAATATATTAGTATAGGAAATATTATTGTCTTTTTTCCAGTAAAAAGCACACTGATTTAGAAATTCTTGCAAAAATCAAATAATTGTTGGTTTTTTATTAAACTTTCAGGATTAATTCACAAATGAATGAAATTATAAATTTTAAAGCTTCAAACAAGCAACATGGCAATCTGAGGCTTTGAAATTCTGAACATTTCATACAAAATCCTGCCATTATCCAGTTCAGAAACGACGCTGATATCTACTTTTATTTACTTTATTTCTCTGCACAGGTAATCATCTAAAAAGCTTAGATTTAGGCGAAAAATGATTTGCATAATTTTTTTTTCAGTCGGGGAGATTACTCTGCTAATTCGTTTGACTGAGTTGCTTCCCTTGACAACTACCATGTCTTTTTTTTGTCTTTTTCTCTCTCAAAATTATATATTGGAATGAAAATTGATTGACAAAGTGAACGATGTCATCAAACATAGTAGAAAAATAAGGGCAAGTAAATATCTAGCGATGTTTACATTGAATAACTTAATCATTCTAACATGAGGCAATCAGCTCTAGCCTGTCAGTAACACTATTCATTCTATCAGATTTTCAAAATATTTCAATAGTAAAATCAGATATCTCTCTCTCTCTCTCTCTATATATATATATATATATATGGCTCATTAAATAATTTAGGCAACTTTTGTCTACCTATTTGTACTGGATTCTCTCGTAAAATAAGTAGACAAAACTTGTCTAAATTATTTAATGAGACATGTCTTAAACATGCTGCCAAAATATAAAATATATATATATATATATATATATATATATATATATATGTGTGTAGATCATGATATCAAATGTGTAAAGATAATCCAAGTAGGTCTTTTTAATAGGTCTTTTCTAAACTGAAACTAAAGTTGTAAATTTAAAATTAAACTTAAAATCCAGAGTTTCGTTCCATTATCAAGCAATATTAGGAATAACTTTCTAAGAAATTTACTTAATTTATATGCACAATCTTAATATTTTGAGTTGTTAAGGTTAAGGAAAATTCAATCTATTTTGATTAGGTGAGGTTGGGTTTTAAGTTCCCTGGACAATTTACGTATCAAATATATGTTGCTTACAAAGTCAGGTTAAGTTTAGGTAGGGTGGGTGTCCCTGCTCACAAACAGAGACATCTGTTATTCAGTATGTCATCTGGGATTTCAATGACAAAAAAAATTTTGGCATTTTTATTTATCCACTTAATTCATATTTTTTATACACAAAAATTTTCTAAAATGGTCATTTGAATATGAGTAAGTCATATTTTTAATATTTAACCTTTATTCCTACAGATTTAAAGTACCATTCCTCCTTCTAATAACTAATAGACTATACAAAATTTTTACAAATAAATACATTAGATTTTAATTACTAATTAATGATCAAGTATGGATATGTATGTTTCATCACTATTCTTTTTTTTGCCAAAATTAATTATTATTTAAGGAAAATATTTGACTACAAAAATAGCTCTTTCACTTCTTTCATTTAGTAAATTTTTATTTTTCAGAAACTTAATAATGTTTAATTTTTCATGTATGCACAAAGGACATGGGTCATTTAATTTCTTATTAATTTCCATTTTACTATTGTTGTTTTATTGGTTTCTTTTAAGTGCCAGAAATATTTAGATAGGGACGTTTGATTCTGGCATTTATTATTATTAAAAGACGTTTGATGTTGGTTCCATCTTCTTTTAAATTCATTCCTTGTGCATCCAATATAGAATTTAACTATGTCTGGATCTTCAATAGATGAGATATTGCATTGATAAACTACTGATTCAATATGGCATTTATTATTATGAGGACAGTTTTGAGGATTTCTACAGTTACATAATTTTTCTTCATTTCTTTTTATTTTAGGATCTATATTTTTTTGATTTTGGTATAATTTTTTATTCAAGATATTAGCATTATGTTTCTTAATAATCATTTCTAAGTTTTCATGTCAACTGTAACTTAATTTTAGGGTATTTTTATTAAAAATTGTACTGAGTTTACTATCTCTGGGAAAATGTTTATCAATTAATGCAAGGAATTTTTATCCTGACTTATTTCTTACCATTTGGTTGTATGGGGGGGGGGTATATCATGATTTTTCTATTTCTATTTTTTCTATGGTGTCCATTTTCATTTTTTATATGATTGAGTTTGGGCATTTATAGCCACTATTCTTTAGAGCTTTATTATAGAAATTATTATGTTCATAGAATATTTTCTCATTTGCTGAATTTGTACTTATTCTTTTTTCAATAGATGAAAGTATATGCTTAATTATAGATGGAGTATGATTAGACTTAGGGTGTATATACAAAGGATTAGTATTGGGCTTTTTGTAAGTAGGTATATATTATTCATTAAATCTAGTGTTATATCAAGGAAGTTAACTTTTTTTTCATTTCAATATTTACAGTAATTTTCAAGTTTAGGCGTTTAAAGTCTCTATGTAATAGTTTTCTAATTTTATTAATTTTAAAGTTCATAGAATTTTTTACAATCATAAGTTCATCATCTCTTACCATCCAATATCATACTAATTTCATGATATGCAATAAGATTATATAATATAAAAAGACCTATAAGGTCAGAGGACTCCGCAGAGCCCAATGATCCCATTGTGATGTCAAACTGGTTATTAGAGTTTTTAATCCATTACTCATCACTATGAATGAGTACCAATTTTTTTCACATTCATAATTATGTTTTTCTCTACATCTGTTATGTCTGAGTATTGGGTAGCAAAATCCACATTCGTGAAAAGTTCCTTTGATAACGATTGGTAGTAATTCTCAATATCAAACTGCATTAGTGTACAATTTGGTTTCTCCTTGATATTAGTAAACCAATTAGTAACTTCTTTGCTATTGATCCAAAGTTTTAATCTTATGTAATCCTTTATTTGCTGTTCAACCCTTTCTAGGATTTTCTTACTAATTCTGCTGATTTCAGGTCAGGTCAAGTTGATAATTCCTGTAGTCGGATTTGCTTCGAAATCGGGTTTGTGATCTTTATAGTTATATAGCACTCTTTTTGGTAAGTTTACCTACCCCATCACTAATATTCAATTCATCTGTGATGTTTTTACTACTAATATTAATGTATTCCACCATAGTCACGTAATTATTACTGGCCTTCTTATTGTTCTTATTTAAATCTTTTTTTTAATTAGGTTGTTGTAGTCAGTTGCTGTTAATTTATAAAAATTTCCTGTTTTATCTGATTTCATTAAAAATTTATCTGTTGCATTCAAATATTAAGATTGTGCTTATAAATTAAGTAAATTTCTTAGAAAGTTATTCCTAACATCACTTGAAAATGAAATGAAACTCTGGATTTTAAGTTTAATTTTAAATTTACAACTTTAGTTTTAGTCTTGAAACACAGAAATTTCTGTGTCGCAATGGAATCATATTTTAAAAAAAAAATAATTTTCATATATATATATATATATATATATATATATATATATATATATATATATATATATACACACACACACACAAGGACTATTCTGTCATCAAAGTTTTGCTTTATTCCTAACCACTGACAATCCCTTTCATTAACTGCAAGGCTAAACTTTTAAAAATGCCTATGTTTTTAACAAATTATTTCTACTGAGGTTTCTCACCTTTGTTGTATTTATCCTGGCATTTCAATGACTGTGTCTCTCAGGGTTTTTTTTTCAGGAAATTCAAAAAGAACCTTTTATTTGAACCATAAGAGTGTATTGTTATTATTCTTTTTACCAATCAACATTGCTTCCTTGGCATTTTTAGACCTAGTAAGCATTAATTGCTTTTAAAAATTAGTAAATTCAACAGGCCCCTGGGGAAGGCCAAAGTGTATAGTGAATGAAACATTGTGATAAAGAACAACAAAGATAAAGGAATTAGTGCAAAAGAATCAATTTATAATAGTAATAAGACTTACAAACATTCAGATAATTGTCATATATTAAAAATTAAAACAAAAATATATTAACAAAAAAATTCTCATATAATACTTAACCAAAATTAACACAAAGATGGTCAACATTTTTCTTAAATATTCACCTGAGATTTTGAGATATTGTTAGTATTAACAGGCATTTTTATATTTTTTAACTTCCACTTGAAAATATTTCAGTCAGCCCAATCTCCAGCCTTTTTCAGGTGAAATTATCGTTGTTATGGTGCATATTGGAGTTCCAACATGCTGACACCCTCTTCTGTCTTGGACCCTATTCACTGCTTGTTTGTGGCATGTTGATATGGGCCAGGTCCTCTTGTTCAGCTAGTCATGTCATGATTGGTCACTGAAACATTTTCACACTTGTCTTGCATTGAAATTAAAAGATATATTTTATGAGCAATTCCACAGGAAAATGTGGAACATAATTTTGTGAACTCATCTCCAAAAATTGCCACAAGAAAATCTATCAGCTCTTTTACATGATTGAAATTATTTGCAAGAGTAATGGTGTATCTGATACCATTGTATATAAAACAATGTGCAATGCTTTTTACTACCAAAAAGCCCATATCAACTATTGATGGATAAAGAAATGGTTAGAAAGCTGTGTAAAGAATTCAATGCTTCTGAATGAACAACTAATATGCCTTTGCAATATGCATTATCTTTTTTTGTCAGGCAATTAAAAATAAAATATAAATTTTTTAAAAAAAGCAGTTAAAATATAGATATTAAAATAAATAAAGAGTAATATGAATTAATGCAGTAAACCTTTTAAAATATTTAATCTATTTTCGCATCTATTCTGGATAGGACAAATATTTAAATAGGATTTTTTCATTTTTTTTTTTTCATACTTATTTTAAATATTCCTAAAATAAAACCAAATAAGTAACCAACATTATTACGTGAATGAAGATTTCAGTGATAAATTTATGGAGGAAAAAGTAAGTAAATAATCAAATTAAAAATAACAGTAAGTAGATTTTTTAAAATATTTAATTTAGTTTTGCATCCATTTTGGATAGGGCAACTATTTAAATAGGTTTGTTTTTGCCATTTTCTTTTTACTCGCTTTTAAATATTCCTAGAATAAAGTAAAATTTTAACCAACATTATTATGTGAATGAAGATTTCATTGATAAATTTATAGAGAAAAAAAGTACATAAATTAATAATCGAATTAATGGCTGTAATTTTTACAGGCTACATAATTTGAAAAAGTGCTATTCAAAAATTACGGTTATCTCCCTTCCATTTTCTAACTTTTGATTTTATGGTTAAGAGAAATATTTGACAAAGTGATAATTCGATTTAACACTTTCAAAGAAGACAATTTTGGGGTAAATGTCATTCGCTGTTATAATTGCTTCCCATATAACTTAATGTATTTGTGGGTAATTCAGTTCGCCCGTCGTTTGCGATTACTGAAATAGATTAAAGTGCTTGCTTTCGTACAGTCCTCCGGTCTACCAACTGAGCTAGTGACCTCTTATTCTCTCAGTCTTGTTAGTATACACGTACACCGTCACGCCAATAATGCGCCCTGTCATCTTCCGCCCAGACTCGCTATTTATGTCCGCATCGAGGGCAACTAAAATTTGCATATGAGACTTACTTCTCGTTCACCCGAGACTTCTGGTTTTATAAATTCAAGATGGTTTGAATTCTTAGTCTTTTTTTTATTTTTTCCCCCTGCACGTCTGTCCACGATCTTTCAACAGGAACTGACACTTCAAGCAAATTCGCTTTGCGGGAGGTAAGTCTTCTTGTTCCTCACAGTATTTACAGTAAGAAGGATTGATTAATGTTGCATTCTAGTGTTCGAAGATCAAGGTCATTGTAAATATGAGAACAGTCCTGTGTTCAACATCAATTATTGTTAGGTAGAGTAATGGTTAACAAGCTAGTCTATAATTACTACTGTGTAATGAGTTCAAATCCTTCTAAAGTGACCTTGCGATATATAAAAACAGCAATAAAACTTGCCTTTGGTTCTCCTTGAGCTATAAATCGTGTGCGGATAACATCCATAGGTTGGACAACAATGGTAGAAACACCTCCAGCAAGAGATCCACAAATCATATGATTCACCGGTTGAAGTCTTTCTGTAAAGTGGTTGGGCATTAGCTCATATGATATTTTGGTGAAGAATTCAAAAGATGAAAACTAGAAAGAACAAAGCAAATATTTTAATACAGGTATTATAAAATAGATTTTTAATATAGATACACAAAACAACATTTTTTTTGTCACCTGTGGCTTCAAAGCCTTACTAGATTTTTTCAGGACTGACCAAGACGAATAATCATCAATCAAATATTATCTTTTTGACCACCATAACAGATTTTTCCTCCCATTCCCTGACAACATTTTAATTTTTTTTCTCAGATATGAGCTGGTATCAGTTTATATTGTAGGGACTTTATTATTATCATTAATAAATAAAAATAGGAAATAATAATAATAAATGTCATAAATAAAATAAAATAAAAATATTAAAACTTTATTTAAAATAAATTAAATAAAACTAAAATAATAAAAGTTCTCCCAGCATGCAACAAACTTTTTTTTTCTGCCTGAAAACGGATTTTGCACCAAAAAACACTGTGTGGCAGAGAGCAATGGTCACCCTTGAAATATTAATAATTATCGTAATATAGAATTTTGTTTATAGATGTGAAGGTAATCTGTGGTGAAGTTTGTGCCCAGAGAATCTGTGCTTCGTCAGAATTATTAATATAAAATGTCAAAACAATAATGTTTATATGAACTATGGAATACCAATTGAGAAGAAGTGACTGTTCATTTAATCATGAATGAGGAGAAGTCAGTAATCAGGTTGTATTCTAATTTACCAACACCCCGGGTTTTTGTTGCTACCACCACATTTACTTAAGCATGTGTTTGTGCAAAAACAAACAGTCAGGGTCGAAGTCAATTGGAGCTGGGCGAAGTGAGTTTACAAGCAGTCAAAGTCAAGAGAGATAGGCAGAGTGAAAGTATTCGCTTGCTACTGTAATAAGGGAGGAAGTGAACTCAAGTTATCGGCAATATTGGCACTATACTGCCAGTGAACCTCCCCCCTTATATTCTGATAGTGAAATAATTACGGCAACTACTAAGAACAAAAAGGGTGCACCTGAAAACTACTTCTCTACTTTCAGAATTATTTGCAATATTGTTTGTTTTTTTTTCTGGACTTTATTTCATATAAACTACGTTCTTGTAAAAAAAGTATTATTCTTTTTGTATCAATTTCTTCCTTATATACATATACATAAATTTTTCTTTGGACTCGAACCGACTTGTTCATATTTGATTTTTCTGCTTGGCCAGATTCTCGCCCCAATGAACTTGCAGGTAGACCAGCTGAATCTTCCAGGATTTATGATTTGTTAATTTCTCTACAGGATCAAAAAAATCACAACATGGCTGGAAAGTTGAATCAAATCAACACTGTGAACCAGAAACTTTCAATGAACCTGTAATACTGGACCAGAACAGGACCAACGGTCAGTCTTGTAGAGTACATTGATCCAGCAGGGTCAGGATAGATGTTACAACTGAACTCACTCTCTTTACTACAGACCCTTGAAGGGGTCAAGACACCCATCTCCTCTCCCTGGCACATTGCTTGTTATAAGACAAAGTGTTTTTTTTTTCCATTATCACATTTGAAACACATATAACTAAAATACATACACATACACACCAGTAAGATTTTGATTTACAATTTAACATGATTTTAGTGTTATTTCTGTGTATGTTTTTATTCTTGTGAACACAAGACTATCCCTACTAGTATAAGGTGAGTGACACCACAATACTACTACTTTCATGAAAGAAACTATTAAGCATAAAATAGATTGACAAAATTAATTTGCCAACACCATTTATACTAGTGAAGCAACTGGAGAAATCTTTACAGGCTTCTCAAAATTTTGCATGAAATTTGAACCATCAACTGCCAAAATATTTATGGCATACATGTAATTTGAAATTAATTTTTCTGTCATGGAAACCCACCAAACCATTGTCGGGATTCAAAATTTAATTTTGCACCATGGGAGCGTGCTGTGTCGCAGTATGCTGCAGCTTACTTTATTAACAACATCATGTCTCACCATATATTGAACAGTGCACTTCAATATGGTGTAACGTTTAGCAAGCTTGTCTCGCTATATTAATTTTGACCAAATAGGGAGTTCGTTTTTCACTGGGTGCCTTGTACTTTCAGCATTGTGCCACATCTAAGCTATGCTTAGAAATTCATTTTTGGCCACTTCAAAGTGGTGTAATAGTTAACAAGCTTGTCTCATTAGAACAATTACGACTAAGTAGTGAGTTCAATCCTCACTCGGTGCGCCATACTTTCGGTTTTGTGCCACATCTAAGCTACGCTTGGAAAATTACTACAATAAAACGCTTCAGGTACTTTGGCGTGGTGTAATGGTTAGCCAACTTGTCTAGCTAAAAACAGTTACAACTGAAGAGTAAGTTCGATCCTCACTAGGTGCCCCATACTTTCGGCCTTGTGCCACATCTAAGCTTGGAAAATCTCTATATTGAAGAGGCTTGGTGGAAAAAGCGAAGGAAAATCACAAAAGAAGAAAATAAACAAAAGGAGTAAAATAAATAGATGTTATATAACATAACATTGAATGTCATTTGTCTAAAAACTGGCTTCACTGAAACAATTAAATTGAATCCTCACTTTGTCAAAAAATCAAAACAGAGAATAGTAAAGGGAAATATTTTATACCTGAACGGCACATTTCTTGAACATTACACCTGTTAATGATTGTTGCTAATGTACAACAATAAATGATTGACAAGGTAAGTTTGTTTAAAAGGAATATTTAGTGTTGAAATCTGTTAAATCCAGGAAATTCACTGTCAAGCAATGAAAATAAAATATAAATAAGATATGATTAAAATATAAATATTAAAGTAATGAGTAATATGAATTAATACAGTAAGTAGACTTTTAAAAATATTTCATTTAGTTTTGCATCCATTTCAGATAGGGCAACTATTTAAATAGGTTTGTTTTTTGCACTTTTTCTTTTTACTCGTTTTTAAATATTCCTAGAATAAAGTAAAATTTTAACCAACATTATTATGTGAATGAAGATTTTATTGATAAATTTATAGAGAAAAAAGTAATGGCTGTAATTTTTACAGGCTACATAATTTGAAAAAGTGCTATTCAAATATTACAGTTATCTCCCTTTCATTTTCTAACTTTTGATTTTATGGTTAAGAGAAATATTTGACAAAGTGATAATTCGATTTAACACTTTCAAAGAAGACAATTTTGGGGTAAATGTCATTCGCTGTTATAATTGCTTCCTATATAACTTAATGTATTTGTGGGTAATTCAGTTCGCCCGTCGTTTGCGATTACTGAAAGAGGTTAAAGTGCTTGCTTTTGTCCAGTCCTACTGTGTATGTATATGCAATGTTCACGATATAAATTAGTATAAGGTTAAGAGTTTATATATGAATATGTATGTGTAAGTAGGGTAGTAGTCACCCACGAGTATTGTTGCAGGTAAGTTGAAATGAATGACATTATGTATGTATAGGTATATATGTGAATGTGTCGTGACTCTATGGTGTTTTATACTGACAGCAATCACCAAAGAACTGATAAAATCATCGTATCTGAAATCGGACTGCCTAGCTCTTTATATCAGTATCTTGTTAAACAAAGGAGATCCAATTCAAAATTGCCATTTGGTTTCTGCTTGCCTAATATCGTAATCATGGAAGCAGATTTTGTTTCTGATTGGCTCATGGATATGACTTTATGGCCTTGCAGTTTTTCAGTATATGCCAATTTTTTTTGTTTATTTTAAGCAATGATTAAACTTGATTGAATTTTCTCATTTTAGTTACAATGTCATATAACAATACTCCAGGGAATTTGTAACTGAGTAAATAGTTAGACCCCCCCCCCAAACATTTATATACACAAAAATATTCTTGTAAAAATGAGAAACAAGCAAAAGACATGGAAACAACAAAACATGCATTATTTATTATCTGGTTTTTATGTGATGTACACATGAGAGATCGTAATAGTGAGTTAAATTGTGAGTTTGGGATCAAATATGGATCGGAATCCAACAGAATGATGAGATAAAGAATAAACAAAGTGGGTACAGTTTTTCTCGTATGTTTTTTATAGATGTGTATAAGGAGTGCCCAGAAAATTGAGTTGGAAAAATACAAATAGTGTCTGGGATTTTCTTAGCTCTTACCAAAATTTGTTGAGTGCTAAAATGATCAATATTACTATTATGGCCTGAAAATGGAAAGGAGACAAAATTTTCATTGATGCAAGTGTTGACAACCTGCCTGTGTGAACTGCTTGTCCAATAGTGAGAATTGGACGTGTTTGTGTGTGTAGAGGAGAAAAGTGGGGTCGATTCTCTTTGGTTTACAATGAGTGAATTAATCATAATTATAATTGTTATAATTCTTTTATCATAATTATTTTTTGGCACTATAATTAAATTTTACTTATTTTTTATGGATACAACACCATGAAAATAGAATTAAATTTTTATTTATGTATTACTTTATGGACATGACATGGAATATGTAAGTTCTATACAGTCTTTCTCGTAAGTATTTTTATAGATGTGTGCAATGATTGTCCAGATAATTTAGTTAGAAAAAAGTGTCTGGGTTTTTCTTACCTTGAATTTTCATTGACATACATATTAACGATCTGTGTGAGCTGCTCATCTCCTAGTAAGAATATCACTTTTGTGTGTGTGTGTGTGTGTGTGTAGAGGAGAAAAGAGAAAGGAGACAAAATTTTCATTGATGCAAGTGTTGACAACCTGTCCGTGTGAACTGCTTGTCTGACGGTGAGAATGTTACATGTTCATGTGTGTAGAGGAGAAAAGTGGGGTTTATTTTCATTGGTTTAGAATGAGTGAATTAATGATAATTATAATTGTTATAATTATTTTATTATAATTACATTTTTTGGCATTATAATTAATTTTTATTTTTTATGGACATGATAATACTTATATTCTGGTCATTGAAACCACGAAAGCATCTCAAAAGTTCAAAGTACTACAGCTATTACTAGCAATTACTAGCTATTACTAGAATACCATAGAGTTGGTCTTGAGTACTAGCCAATC